GCAGTAGGTATCCAACACCCGATAATTGCAAAAAGCACTAGATCGGAACTAGATTGGATGCGTTTAGAACACGGAAAAGGAACGTGGAGAAACGGGAGATGTAGAAATCAACAGTGGTGATCGAACAACCAAAATGAGCAGTCTAATACACACTGAATACCTCTCTGTACTTACCACGTACAGTGAAATAAATTGTTTTGTGTTTGATCTTTGGACTAAGCTTGAAAACGTTCTATTGCATGAATATAACTTTTTCACGGCGAAGAGCAGTGATAAAGACAAATCCATGGACTTAATCGGCACCATGACTCTTATTCACAATGACCTATTTCACGGACTGTTTCTTCGAGAATAAATTCAAAGACGATAAAATCTCCGAAAAGCACCGGAGTGGAATAGGGTCTATCGGTTGACCAGTCTGAGCTGAATGACAAATTAATTACTAGTGTAGTTTGTATGGGCTAAATGTAGACAGGGAGAGACGGAAAGAGAAAATGGACTCATGGCAGGCAGTAAGAGGAAGCATATCTGATCTGATCAGTAGTCAAAGAAGATGTTTATCTGACACACATGAAAAATTCCGACTAGTTTCATTTCTCCAATCATGTTAGACTACCAAATTTTGCAGAATCGAAGCTGACTTTTTATCAATATTACTCCAATCAAAGCAAATCATTCCAATGAGTACACTTCACTTAGACTTTGAATTTAGAAAAACAATGCTGAGTTACTTTTCACTAATATAGATGCGTTTTGTTCAGAATGTTTACTAACATCATCTTCGTTGGATTCGTTCGTTAGAAAACTTTAGCTTTTATCATTTTATCATTTTGAGTGTATAAAATATTTTTTGACGTGCAAATGATTAGGCTGGAGTGTATAACACAACATAAAAGTGACTAGCGAAAAAATTGCACCCTTAGTAATGGTGTACTCGAGTAATTTGGAGATTTCAAAACAGCATGCATGCTTCAGTGGCACGTGGGGATTCTTTATTCTCGTTGAATTTCCCAAACATTTGCTCATCAAAGAGAGTTGAACACGATGGGTGCTGTAACTGCACTCTCAGCAAATTCGGTTCAGTTCAATATGAAATTAATATCTATGGGGGAAAGTGCGTTTTGAATGCGAACGAAACCGGTGTATCATAGCTGTTGCTAGTCGTTGCTCAGATTCTCCATCTCTTTATCTTCTCTCTTACTCTTCGGTCATTTACCAGTCAACGAGTAATGAATTATATTCATCAACGGTGATTAGATTGAAAAATTAATTTATGATTATGACACGTTCCACACTGCTCTTCGAGTCATGCTGACTGACTAGCTGATCATAGTGTAAAACTCTTCGGGATATTCACATTTCTTTCAAGGTAGCTTGTGATTAGTGGTGTAGGATAAATTTTTCTTCATTTGAACAGACCGCGTTCATGAATAATCTTCAGTTAACAATGCGCTCAGATGCACTAGACTCCAGTTCCGTTCTCATTAGATCTCATCTGCGATGCATGTTCCCCGCCCTATGCGAGGTTTGAACTTTGGATCTGTCGAATGGAAGGCGAGTTTGCTGTTACCCTTGTGACAATCCCAGTTGGAATAAAATTATTTGGAGTTGATGAAAAAGAAACAGTCTAATACACGTGAGGTTGAACTGTGATTAGAACCGTTTATTTACTTTCTGTCTAACGGTCGATTAATCAGGGTTCCACCCTGGGAGGGGGGACAAACGTTTGCAAAACTCCACAGCACAAGCTTATGAGGCACGCTTTTCGTGGCTTGTAAGCAGAGATACTCAATAGTATTTACATTCTGAGTTCGAATTCAGTCTGAGTCTATGAGGAAGAAATCCTATGATTTGGGTACTCATTGGCCTCGAATGAACAATGTGCACTTCTACAACACAAGCACATTCTCTGTATACGGCAACCTCTACTGCTAAGTAACAGAAGGCCTTGATCTTTGTGTCGTAATTCTTTGACTAAACAGAGCTCTACCGGTCGGCTTTCAAGATTAGGTCACGTTTTCCACAGAAAATCGAAAAAAGCTGTCAGCTGTTGCATCCTTGTATTATCTACTTGAGAAGGTTTTCAGAGGCTGAACGGCTCATCATAGACCACCACTACTTTTGTGATTTTTAAATGTGTCACGAGGCTCGTAATGTGCCCCCAAGTTACACCGTGTCAGAACAGACTTGTTCTATGAAGCGTATCAAAGATCGCTCTGATGGTCAAAACGTAACAATTGTCAACCTTTGAGAATTGTAATGGTTATGGTTTCTGACGAACGTTAACGTATTTTCCCCATAAAACTATCATCTACGTGGAACTCATCCGCCTTTTTGCCGCCCCAATCTATGTGTTGAACCGAACCACGAGCTTAATGTAGCGTCACTCAATAGCTCGAGTGTACTTCAAGGTGCTGTCCTATCACCTAATCTTTTTCGACTTATATTAGTGACTTACCTGTTGGACATTTTAAGTAGGCTAATGATATCGCCATTTCTGTTTCCATATCTAACCAATCAGACCTGGCTTAATATATAACACAAACCTATCCCACCTCGTTTCATATTCCACTTTTTCCGGTCTTAATCTTAATTCTGAAAAATGCCTTGAATGTAGTTTCACTCAAACCGTACCCCATCTCCCTCTGGCAATGTCCAGATTCATGGAAAGCCGATGAGCAGGGTCAGCCATGCGAAGTACTTAGGTGTCACACTTGAAAGTAACCTTCGCTGGTCCTTACATACCCAAAGTATTGCTAGCAAGCTGTAAAGTCTCTCTTTTCAGATAAGAAGACTGCACCAGTTATGTTCTGACTCGTCGGTGATAAACAGTTGCGTTCAACAATGTGTCCTCCCTATACCCCTTTATTGTTCTCTTGTAATTTTCCCTGGTTTGTTAAAGGCTGATTTCGAGTCGCTGAGATGTGGCCTCTCAATGATCAGCCGTGTCTCCTAAGTTCCATTATCTGTTCTGATTGGCAATATGTGTAATGCCCATATTGATGCATGCTTAAAGTTTGCTGACAATATCCTATCTGATTGCACCCATTCTCTACAAACTGACTTGTGTGCAAGCAAATCCCACCCCCCCCCACACGTTCCAAGTACAAACTTATCTCGTCTCGCATATCCGTATACAGAAACTCTTTCGTACCCTATCTTGCCCGGATACTGACCGACAAGGAAAGTGTTCGCTCTGAGCTTTCTAATGCATTTGATAATTAACTCAGACCTGTGTACATTTTCACATCCCATGTTTTCCCCCTGTTTTTACCAGAATTGTAACGGTGGTCTATATTTTGGCTGAAAGTTTGTATATATAACTAGCTAAAGCTTGAATAAGATACAATACAATAGAATACAGTGATGCCGTGATAACGTAACATGGCGTGACACGTCGTTCGTTAGAAAGATCATCGGAAATTTCTAGAACTATCTTTGGTCCTCCTTTCCTTTTTCCTTCATTTGAACATGATTGGCATTTCTGTTCTTTTTTAATTTAAACTTACTGAACCAATCAATTTTGTTTCAAACTTATATATAAACGCACAATTGTGAAAACGTGGCCACGAAGTTGTGAAAACAGGCTTGTTTGCTGCATTATTTATCTTTGATATTACTATGGGAATCTTACGCGATTTTAGTCTTATATTTGATAAAAGTATAATCGCGATCAAAACGTTTGATATAAGAGATATTAGGATAGCTCCTTCATGAAGAGGACGGTCACTCTCAAATCTGAGCAATTCGACAGATGTTCCAATGCATAGTATCTTAAATTTTTCCAAATTGGAAAAATTAATATGTGGTTGATCTCATACATCAACTGCTTTGCAGCTTTTTCGAAATATAACCATCGTACACTCATGGGATCTTATGAAAGAACAAGGAACAAGGTCACCCTGAACGATTGCACCCCAGATTGCGCCGGAATCAGTTCACGAGTACAGTACGAATGAAATTTGATCTTCTTTGAATCAACACATCTCTCATCCCGTACTGTGAGCCAATATCTGTGTCGAACAAAAATTGCTATCTTTCTCGGAGGTCATACTCAACTTCGTAGGAGCTACGTCAGCTCTGAAAGCGAATGTTCCCGCCTTGATGAGTCTCTGTGGTAGTTAGGTATAAGGGGAAATACCGTTCGTTGATCAAATGTTATTCAAAATTCATCCAACTTATGTGATTTTCTTCATGAAAAAAGCGCTTGTATTGTATTGTATTTTATTGTATTATATTGAAACGTTAGTTAGTTATATACAGGCGCTCGGCCAAAAGTAGACCACCGGTACAATTTTGCAAAAATGAGGTGAAAAAGTGGGACGTAAAAGGTACAAAAATATGAGTCAAATACTAAGTGCATTAGAAAGCTCAGAACTTTGTGATTATTTTTAATTACTAGTTGCAAATCAATCTATTGCGTTCACTGCTATTCCGACTATTTGTCTGACGTTCCTCTGGCGTGATCCATACTCTTTTCGGTTTATAATCCACCCTGATAGATGTGAGTTGCCAGCCTTGATTACGTTCAGTTTGACTGAGACCCACGACAAATAAGGTTGCGACAAAAAAGTATAACTTCCGTAGCTTTATATATGTTATCCATTCTGTACAATCCAGAGGATTTTTAACAGTAGTTCGACCGAAATCAAGGTCAGCCAAAACATTTAGTTTTCTGCTTGTCAGGAAAGGTGTTTAAGACGATTCAATTGTTGGTCAGAAATTGATAACAGAAAATATTCAGGCAATCTCTTCTAGGTGGTAACCATTTTCATACTCAATCTGGATTTGTTTTAGTTTCCTATTATTCCCAGTTGTGAAATTGCAATCCTTTTTGTCTATGTTTTCTCTTGTAAATGATCACTTCTGAATTCTACGTTTATCGATTATCGATTCCTTTCAGATATGTTTACATGAATATTTTAAAATCGTACTAGTAACATCTGTCAGTTCACAGCGTTTAACCTCTGTCTTTTTGCTTCTAACTCACATCACAACAGGTAAATGTGATATTTTTGGCAGCGATATCGATGAACGTCCGTCGATCGGGTTCTCCGCTTACGATGTCAAATCACTCACCTATTGTGAGTTGCAATGCTTGGCGCTGGACACAAATTTTCTTCAGCTACTCAATGAGTATCCCACATTCCGAAAAGAGTTTGCCGCTTCGTTACATGAAGAACTGTCTTTCAATATTCGAGAAGGTTTTGATCCGAGTGTAGGTTATTTTCCGATGGATCTGTAATGTGTTTTGTGTACTTGGTGTTGGGGATGTGTGGGAAATATTTACAAGTGATTGCTACTCTAGTCCCGTAAGGTTGAGCACAGATGATTCGATTCACGGTTTATAGAAAGTAGACGAATGTTGCAATTTATCCTTGTTTCGTGCACTGCAATGGATAATCAAATTTAAGACTTGTCAAAGCTGCATTCACTTTGTGCTTGAAGAAATCAGTTGTGGGTAAAGAAACAACGTGTGGTGATAGAGAATTTCAAGTAGTGCACACTGAGGGCGAATGAATGATGCAGGCATTCTAGTCGCCATTTTTGGAGCACTGATTTGAATGAGTTCCGCCTCATGATAGTGTTGAGCGACAAAGCCAAGAGTGAACGACATGGGTGATCTGGGTCCTGCATTTTTTGATACACCAAGATCAAGTCTCCTCAAATGTGAAGTACAGTTGCAGTGATTCCGGTCTTTCCACGTTACTCTTGAAATTCAGTCCCTTAACCATTTTGGTGGCCATTCACTGTGGACGTTCTAGAATATTCCGACCGCACTGCAGCCATGAATCGCACACTTGAATTGTATTCCCCATGCGGGGTTAGTAACAACCGTGGAAAGAGCCTAATTCAAATTAGCTAAATACTCCCTTTAGCAAATCATCATGTCTTACAGTGGTAGACGACGCCCGGGAGCAGTTTAAAGAACAACTTAGGTCATCTAGAACAATGACATCGAGATTCTTCTCAGTCGGGAGGCGAGAAAGTTGTTGATTTTTGCTGGNTGGGATGTGGGGATGTGAAACGGAATTTAATGCACACTTGAGGTGCTCCGTATAGTGTTCATGCACTCACATCCTTAGCTACATGGAAGCGGGCACACATGCGGTAAGAACAAAAGAATGGAGTTGGCAAGCGAGGCACGCAAAATGTCTTAATATTAATTCCCGCTGGATGCGCAAATTTTATAATGATTATTTTGTGGTGAATATAAGAGAATTTCAATGTTTCTCTCGTTTAAGAAAGTTATTGATATCGTTCTGGCGATCGTTTCCGAAGACGGAAAATCCATTTAACTATTGAAGATATAATAAATAATTCATACAGATTCATTTTAATTAACAAAAATGAATAAAGAAATACTTGATAGTAAATCACCTCAGCTTTAGTGGTGAGTAGCTCTGCTCTCATCCGGTTCAATACCACACCTAACCTATCAGAGCCTTGCCCAGACAAGTTGCAAATTTTTATTGGATAATTTGAGTGCCAGCGTAGCCATGTTCGGTATCCGTTTAAAGTGTAAAATATTACTACAAGACTGGGTTGGTCCAGCACCCAGACTAACTCTAACTCGAGAAGTAATAGAGCAAGTGGATAAGTTTTATTATCTGGACAGCTATATCTCACCCGGTGGACGCATCACAGATGAAGTGTCAGCTTGCATACATAAGGCTTGGTTGGCATTTGCCAACTTGAGACCTTTGTGGCATCGTTGCGATATCCGGCTGTCTGTGAAAGGTCAAGCACACTCTGTAGAATTTCGACCAGTCTTTCTCTACGGTGCAGAGACTTGACCAAGACGGGATTAGCATAAAACTAGATTGTCGGTTTTCGAACACCGCTGTCTACGTCATATCACTCGAGTCTGGTGAGATAACCAGACTAGTAATGCTGAGATAATCGCTGTCGTCCTCTGGAGCAAATAGTCGACCTTTGTAGCTTTCGCTGGTTGGGATATGTGCTACGCATGTCACCAAATAGGTTTTCACGGCGAGCGATGTTTGCTAAGACAGGTATTGGGTTGGAAAAAGCCAAAGGTGGTCAACCTGAGACCTAGCACGAGAGTGTAAAAACGTTGATCAGGACACTGGATCATATAGGTCCCTTTAGGTTTCTTGGATGGGGATCTGGGGACAATAGTAACCGATGGTTAGAGACACTGATTGATATGGATGAGTTTCGTAAACAGTAGCGCTCATGCATCTTGTCAATTTCTATGCAGCATTAAATGACTGAAATTCTCTATTCGCTATTCGACTCTGGTTTCATTTTTCCTATCTTTTTCCTACTGTTTCATCCAAATGAACAGCCAATCGAGACAGCAACCAAAACCGGCGCTGTCTCCGGTTCAGCACCACGCCTAATCTATCGGTGCCTTATGTGGTTCGCCACTCCCAGTCCCAGAACTTAGGTTATCGGTTTCCATCAATGAACAGCAGGCCCTCGTGATTATGGGATTCCACCCCCGTCCACTGTTCATTGTTTAATAAAAATAAATATTACCACGTTGGAAGGAATGAAAGTCTCCGGTGACAGGATGCTTTCGCATTGGTCACTTTTGAATAATTGGCCGGCTATGTTATTCTCCCCTGAAATATGATTTAACGGTCCATTAAACTCGTTCACGTCACTTCGAATCCACCGACATTTTACCGAGCAGAACTTCAAATAACTGATGCCCATCGCGCAATCGCATTGCCACTGTTGAGCATCAAACGATTAGCTTAGATGATAATTCAACTAAAATTTTACTGTTAACATAGTATATTTTATCACATTCAAATAACTAAAGTTTTAACAGCATCAGTTCCATTCCCACGGGTCATATACACTGTATTTTATACGCTTGATGCCAATCGGTAAGATTCATCGATTACATCGATTACTCCAGGAAAGATAAAAGCAATGTGAGGTTGATGCTTCGGAAATGCACACATGAGGAATCACTGTAACCGACGAAAAGCAAAGGTTAATGATTTCCAACAGCAGTAGGCGATCATAAAGTTTTGCATTTTCAGATCAAGAAAAATCTACAATTTGATTAAACTTCCACGCTCAGAATAGAATGAATGGATGATAAGTGAATGGCGTGATACTTCAGATGAACTATGTATGTGCAACTTCTTGTACGGTGGAATTCCTTGCAACGACCGACAAAGCGAAATGGAGAGTCGTTCTCGTCCCTGTTGGGACTCAATATCAGTGGCTAATTTCTGTGACTGACCAGATAAACTTTTGCATTTGGCAAAACCTACATTTCTGTTGAGTGATTTAACTATTTGGAGTGAAAAATTGTTGAACCGTTTCCCTACCTGATGATCTTTGAAATGTCTTTAGCAATCCATCGCATAACCACGAATTTTCCGTCCGTTTTGGACTGCCTCTCTATCTATCCAAGTGCTTCAAATGCTTCAAATTACGCTCCCCCGATCGGTTCATTCCCGTCACCCCGTGAGCACAACCACAAATCCTTTAAGTGGAGTAGATTTCTTCAAATATTTAAGAGTTATCATTGACACAAAATGAACAGGGTCATCTCATATCTACAACTACAACTTCGTGGATTATCTTTACCACGTCGAAGATTTGGGCAGTTGCACACCAAGCAAGAAATCATTTCGCTTTTTGTTTGTCACTGTGTTCTTCCTGTGCTTCTTTGCCGTTCCACGGTGGTTTCAGCTGGACTACTTAAGAAAGAATTCCACATCATTTGTCGTGGTTCGTTGATTGTCAATCGTGTGTCTTTCATACCGGTTGACCATCTATCTAAAAAACTGTATGAACTACACTTGTCCGCATTTGCACAGAAAATCTTCTCTGATCCCACACTAACACTTTACATGCCGATCTATCCAAATGCTGCTCTCTCATTCATCCACGCGTTCCACATATTTATTATTACCCTCTCGCATTAACATATACAGAAATTCTACAGTTCCCTATCTCACTGAACTCTATGCCAGACTATTGAGAAGTTCTGCTGAGTTGCTCAGCAACCTTGGGGGCACGTCAATTGTTATACTAGTACGATTTTCTTCCGTTTATTTGTAATTTTTGACGGAAATGCGGATATCTGACCTAGTAATCCTCCACATTTGACATATTTCATACTATATCTGTGAGAGCGCAAACGTAGAATTCGTTTATTTCTGAATGAAGGTGATATATATGAATGATCAGAACACAACTTGGCAAACAAGCTCGTTTTCCGTGTATATTAATTATGCCATCACAATACATTATAGAAAACCAGTTATACAAGGGTTTACTCGCAGAATTGAATCTTTGATGTGTAACTAGTACTATGTATACAGTATGTTGGAAAATCATGATTAACTAAACCGAGATTGCTGTCTAATTTGTGTTCTCGTGGTGTATTCTTTGAAACTGTTTAGATGACATTATACACAGAAAAGTGAGATGAAACAAATATAGATGGTTCAGACACACCAATATTGACAAAAACATGTCACAAAAACGGGACGGTTATGAGTCTTTTGATGACCATATACGCGCACTGGTTTGTGGAGTCCTGCTGACAAAGCAGTGGGTAAAAATGGTTCAGGTCGGTGTCCGGTCGCAAGCGATTCACACATCTCACTTGGCCCGTAAGACATACACCCAATCCGGACGAACAGATCTTTTGTGCGAGTGAAAGGATGGCGTATCGTTCGATGCTCTTTCCTAGGTGGTCTCACAGCAAATTTGTCCTACTGATTTTGTTTGTCTACTAGTGTTTAACTCGTACGCAGCTCGCCTCTTCAAGCATTGTGCATTAAGTTTCACATCAATGGCCTTCATTAGAAATGGACAGTGAGCAAATGTAGATATAACTAATGAGATCAGCTATCAGGGTGACAACCCGGCTTAATCTACCTGCGGTGGACCTGAATGACCCGGCAGATTTTGTTCGGCGTTGTGCATAATTAGAAATATCTGACCGCGTTCCCACGCACTGATATCGGTTCACACAATGGAAACAGGGGATGAAAAGCCAGGATCCACTGGAAAACTGTTTCAATCTGGTTTGGCATAGTAAATCCCTCGACCCAGCCGGGGATTGAACCCGCCATCTCAAAAGTAGAAGAAATTGATTATTTCGTTTGCTCTGCCCACGACGAAATTCACAAAATAATCAAATGAAGCCCTCCACTACACCCAGCGTAAAGCTAATAAAGTTCATTGCACACATAATTGAGGAAAGCTTAACCAGTAATTGCATTTTACTATGCGCTGGTCGATTTCGGTATTTAGTGTCAATATCTTGGTGCAACTTCAAAGTAAAATGTTTGATGATCGCTGAAAATGATTAGTTATTTTCGATTCGGTCGATCAATGTGAAATCTCAATAAGCATGAACAAAATGGATACACCTGTCTCATTTGTATACCACTACCACTTCATTTGATGTAACTGGAAATTGCTCTCTGAGGTTTTCGGTTTCCTATCTACTCAGTCCTCTCCAAACAGCCTGAGCATATTTGTGATCCGCACAGCGCTTAGTTTGGATCTGTTCGTTCTAGCCTGGAAAGCGGTCTTCATGCAAACGAGGCGCTGAGATGGAGTGGGAGAGTAGTATGTGGAATGTTGAGACAAAAATGCACCACATTCATCATGAAAATAGAACAGAAATTAATGGTTGTGCATGCAAGTTCCAACGGAGAGCAAACGGCGCCCGGTTTCTAATGGTGCGTTCGTTTGTATTCCTCTGTGTGTGAAAATTATGGAAATTGCCATGGCGCAATTAGGTTCACTTGCGAGACAATATTGTGGTGAACCCAAGCAGAAGCTTTGATAAAGTTACGCGATAATCAGGGATCGACGATGGGACGCAAAACAAATCGACAAACAGTCAAAAAATGATCTTGCTTTGATATAAGCGCAAACTTATCTAAACAGGCGCGTATCATAAAGGGAGAAACATGCAACATCCCTAAATCACTGCAAATTTATGCAAAGCGATCCATAAGCGAAATCACGAAGTTTTGCCATTTTTGGATCAGAACAAGCAGCGATTTGGTTGGCTCAAATGTAGCAAACACAGCGGACGGGTTTATGTACGTCTCAACGAAGCCATAAGAAACCAGATGCGTGCAATGCCTCGATTAAAGCAATCTGAAATGACTATGCAAGATCTAGCTTAATAAAACAAGTAAATTTGCTTTCCATTAGTCAACCAATTCGCGAAGAAAATTAACAATAAGTAATAATCGATAATGCTAGCAATGACCCTTTCAAATGTGAAAGGGATAACAGCTACACTTCACATAGCAAGACTTCTACAGTTAATGTGCACAATTCACTTGTTTTAAAAAGGCATATAATCAAAAATACACAACTAAACTTCACGATGCTATTTTTGAATAATTGTCACTCGCATTAGAATGCAACTAAAATGAAATGAAAAAGTTGATAGTTTTTCTTTCAATTTCAAGGGGGCGGATGAGCCAACTGATTAGCTTTTAATAGAACGAGCTAGAAAACCAAAACCCTTTTTGATTTTCACTTTTATTTTGTACTCTATTGTGTTCATTTTATTTTAACTCTTTGTTAATTGCTTCCGAATTGGTAGCAAAAACGCGTGGATTTTCCTTCAATCAATTAAACACGGATATGAAATATCTGATCATTTCAATGTAATTGTTGTATGATTAAGGACAGAATCGTTTATTAATAAGTAGTATACGAATGACTGAACAAAATTTCTCTGAAGCACAAGATCGGTTTCGCAATCTTTGTCGCTTATCAGGTGTGCGTCTCTGGTATTCCCCTGCCTGGTCACGCTTATACTTGAACTCCTGATGTGAATTATTCAATGTAAATATCATATGTATCTCGTCTCGAATCCAATCTTCAAGCTGTAAATGAGATTTGCGTTGTCTAATTAATATCCACTAAATAAGAGTGACCAGGCAGAAGATTACCGGATGCGCATATCTGACGTGCTACAAAGACCGCGAAATCGGTCTGGGAAATTTTTCCAGCCATTCATATAATACTCATTACAAAAACACTGAAAATCGGGTCTGGAGTCGAGTTGGTTGAGGCTAGACGCATCCAACCGACAACAACACCTCGTACAGAGCCATTGCAATGATTCCCCAATGCCATTTGTGTCTCGAAGCCACTCCCCCAGCTGCAAATGAGCTTTGCGTTGCATCTAATTCGGTTAACTATGAGTCTAGGTTGCGTAAACGTTCAAAGGGGAATGAATAAAATTTCATGAAAATTATTGATCCATTTACCAAAAATGCCCTTTCTAGGAAGAAGATCTTCTAGGATTATATGGGAAAAATACCACTCGAAGTATTGATTTTTTACACAGTTCTATTACAAAACAGCAAACATTCAAAATGATCATAATTTTGAAAACACAGAACTGAAGTTTTATCATCCAATTTTTTGACTTAGAGGGAAATTGAATATTATCGTTATCAGAGAACTTCTCAACTTATAGAAAATTCCATCTTTGTATTTTAATGTCACGAGATTGAAATTAATGTATACAATCATTAATCAGTAATGACGTATCCAACCTACTCACACAAATCGTTGTTGGTGATCAATCACTCTTTCAACCACAACTGTTGGTTTCGTTTGATTTTGCTCTGTTCTTATCGACATTTAATCAATGCGCGTTCGATTCACACTTGCTTTTGTTTCACACAAACCAGTTATTGGTTTCTAATATTTTTATTGATTCAACTAATTGCTTGCACTTGGTAAAACCAAAAAAATATGCTTTTTTGTTGATTACTTTTTATTGGTCTCATATGCAGATAAACGGTGATATCCTACCGGCCATCACACTAAGACCAGAACAGTCGAAACTGTCAACTAACGACGGTGATGAGGATGTCGACGATGATGATGATGGTGAAGATGAGAAAGCGGGGTTAGAAACTGGAAAAGAGGATGACGAAGAAGAAGTGGAAGAGGTTGCGCGTGAGGAAAAAAAGGAAACACACCAAACCTCGCCGGTGATTCACTCCTGTCTGATTCGTTCCAGTAACCCTGAAAATTTCTCTCCTCGTTCGAAACACCCTAGTCCCGGTTTGGATTGTCCTCCGGTTGATCAGGCGCAGTTGGAGTGGACTCAAGTGCCAACCAATTCAATCTCGTTGGAACCGGAGCTGTCTCAACGTCTGGATTTCATTGATAGCCAAATACCAAGCAGTTCTGTGGGACATCATTCCAGACCAGAAAGCTGGGTGAAGCATTCGGCTGTTTTTGATCAACCCTCTCCGCATGGTAGTGATATGTTGTCGTGGTCGGCAGTTCCACATCTGGTTTCAGCTCACTCCTGTCCCGACCTAAATCAGGGGAGGCCCAATTCAGGTACAAAGGCTAGGCAACATCTATGGGCACAACGGTAAGTTGAGAAAAATGATGAATGAAGCCTAATGTTAGACAATTATGTTCACGTTTTCCGTGAACATAACTACTCACCAATTGGTCGGAATTGCTTTTTATTGAATCAAAACTAAATACAGCATACTACACGTGTTCAAAAGGTGGTGTTCAATAAGGGCACACGAATAACCTCAAAACTTGGTCAATTGGTGTCCAAAAATGCTTCACTATCAATAGTAGTTGCGCTGATATCATGAGTACTGTTGCTTGTTGAGGCCATGCAACTTGTTATATCATAAGTAAAGTCAACTAGTCGATCGTATGTTTAGGTGCCTCCCAGCCACAACGGAATAGGTGTAAAAAGAGAATGTTTCTGTGAAACACAGGACACGAGATCTGACCTCTCCTGGTAATCGTTCGTAGACTGGAAAGAAAGCTTCACTCAGCATTAATCTCTTCCCCACTTTGGACTTTTAATTAATCATCAACCAACTTCTGTCAACTGACATTTGTTCACTGATTCCAGCCGGCTTTAAGACGCCAATAACAAATTTATGTTACCATGTTTGCCAATAAGTCAATAGAACAACTTTAAACATTACCAAACAATCGAATTGGACACAGTCTCGTGGCCATTCCAAAAGGTTACGATCAAATAGATTGGTATCCGTGATATTTGGTTTCATGGATAACCACAAGTAACCCTATGCATTGTCCGTTCTTTCTTGTATGCTTCCTTTTTCACTTGAATATATGCATGATTGTACGAGGGCTGAGCACACATTTTCCAGAGGCACAAAATGTTTTGTATGTTACATAAAAATCAGCATTACATTTTCACAGAGGGTTCTCCACCAGCGTTTTTCCACAGTTCCGTGTGCTCAAACTATTGAATGATAATAGCTCGGCCATGTCGGAGAGGATAACCTGTCAACTAATTCAATGAAGGCCTCCACTGCAGCTGTCGGTGAGCTGTATGGGAATCCAGGCATCATGCGCTTGATATTTGGGAGCAAAAATTATCCCGCGGAGCCAGGTTTGGACTGAAGGGCGAGTGACCAACTTCCAAGATGCGCTTTCGCGCCAGAAAAGAGCCAACTACATGGGACCTGTGAGTAGGTGCGTTGTCATGGTGCAGCAAGGTCCCTCATGCCCCAGTCCTTGAACGATGCCTAGCATCAGCTTCCAGCGCTTTCGGTAGACAGCGAGTGGTGTACCAGTCTCCAGTGACTGCACTTTGCTGTACAGTGGTGCTTCAGTAGCCACATGACCTGTTTTGGCCGATAACACAGTCAACATTTGTTTTTCCACACTGTGCTAGTGTCAGAATCTCTGAGGTGACACCTTACCAACCAGTGTCCACGTAGCCGACTGCTGCTTGGTCTCGAGGTCGAAACTGTACACCCAGATCTCATCAATATTGATAATCTCAGAAAAACTGAAATGGAACTTCCATCCGGGTAAATCAACACGTAAAACTTGTGAGCTGTGCTCTCGGCTGTGTTGATATTTGGTTCGGTGTGAGTTGCAATCACCGAACAATATTCATACAATACCAAATTACAGTTCATGTTTTCCTTGCCACTTCATCATTTGCACCTCGTACTCGTCGTGTATTGTGTATGCTGGAAACGTTTTGCTCAACCGTCCGATAAGCTGAGTTTTTTAGAGAGCAGAGAGCCTTACTCAAAGAGATACCTTCTGATAATAATAAATGGTCAAAGTTAGCTGGAGGTGGTAGTGGGATTTGAATCCCGGATTTCCGGAGCAACATCATCATGACCAACACTTTTTGGTTACTACGTTCCACCCTCTACAATAAGAACCAGGTCTGGGTGGCTCAAAACTTTTTTATCCTCAGTGATTTAATCAGTCTTTTTGGCATTGAATCGTCTCACAAATCGCTTTATCAACATATCATTTTGGCTTAAAAATGACTGATAAATCTATTATAAACAGATCATCAATTTTTGTGTTGTCTCCTTTAAGATATTGATTGATTTTTCCAGATTGGTTTGACACTTAGATCAATAGTCACTGACAAATATATGCATTTACGTGAATTGTCACTGACAACTCATACATAGCTGTTATGACCGCTGTATAAACAAAGCGTGACAGCTTTTCCCAATGCGGTTCTATCTCGGGATACAACCAAAGACCAGGCTAACGCAAACCACATCAATTTAGGACGAACCGATTAACGCGATCAATAGGTGAGGATGGGATAAATATTGGTTTTACTTTTATATTATTAAACCATTCTGAATATAACAAAGGTCAACGGAAAAGCACTTTTACGAAACGCCCTATCTCAAGGAAAATTGTCCAGATAAAAATAGGCGTACGGAAGGCTAATAGTAATTGAGAACAGATAAGGTTTCGGTGCAGTTTTCTTCCAAGACTAATTTAAGATATTTTTGTATAGATGACTGAAATTTTATCTCTCATATAAAACTTCAAATAGTAACTTCACGAACGGGCGAAACAGATGTGACCATCTGAACCGAACTCAAACCGAACTCACCTTGATTGGGATCCTATGTGCTTCCTGTTTTGATTCTCAGATTGTTTCCATTGTTCTCGCTGTGTTGTAGGTTATCCGTTTTAGGCATGGCAGAAGCTAATTTCCGTTCGAAACATCGTGGACACAGAGAAGTAATGAAGTATCCTGTCGACATAAGAGTATGAAAATATTTATCCTGGTTACGGTTTCCTTTCTCTAGCTCACTGCAATCAGCCAACACCACCTGAATATTCTAACCGTGTTCACGCCGCTACCACTTACCAGATAAATACCATTTTAAGCAAAACTATTCAGATTTGTTTGTTAGCATCGGTAAATTCATTCTATAAAGAGCCGGACCTGCGTGAAGATTTAAAGCTATATTTGAAATAGTGTAGCGCTGTACATCTATGCGCTCACTCAACGGGGGATCGAATCGTGGACCTCACGTGGTCCACGCAAAAGCTATATATGCTTGATCACAAAGCAGCGGTGATTTCTGTTTTGTTTTTATGCATAAAACAGATCACAATTCACCATCGGAAACTCTCTAAGCGAGCCGCTAACCCCTTCCATCTTGAAACTATCAATCGAATGTCCTAACCTGGTTAAGATTTTCGTCATGCTTGTGTACGCAGCTCTGTGAAAATTTGTTAACGTCCAATTGGTTTGCAACAATCCAATGTTTCCCGAGAAAGATGTTTTTCAAAATAGCACTTTTTGCTTTCAGCTTTCGTGCCACATTTCATCAGAATGGATAGGATGACGAAAAAGAAACAGTTTCATTTTTTTGTGGTAACATGAGGACTGCATGTGGTCAGCATTTCTAATCCCTCGCGACAGATGGTGCTCAAGTTACCGGAGAAAATAATGTCCCACTGTTTTTATTCTCCCCGGGGAAAAATGGCAATCAAGATGATTGCTGTGTCATACAATTTTCGCGAAATGACATTAGAAGATTGAGATCGTTTGGGTTATTCGGAGGAGGGGAATTAAATTCAACTACACTTTTGATACATTCATTGTCTGTGGTGCTAATAATCTCCCACGGTTTGAAGCGGAACGCATCAGTTTTGGTTTCTGGTTCACCGTTTACAAACCTCGAATGATATTTTGCCACTGTTTACAAATGAATAAAGCTGCGCAGTGACTAACTACACCTCTCGACTTGAAAACTGTAGGCAGGGTGAACCATGATCACCATGATCATCAGAAATAAGAAAATGCGAAATGCGCGTGTACGGCTGGAGTTCACACACACACACACACACACACACACACACTTGAAAGCTGCAGCACCGTGAAATGCAAAAATATGAGAATTCCAATCCAATATGCGCTATAATTTGCTGATCTCTCGTTGTGACCGGATGGTGAAATTCACCAAATACTTGCTCCGGAGGACATGTTTGAATCCTGCTACGAATAGCACCACCTGACTTGTTGCATTCCTTGTAGGATACCTGACAGCTCCATAACTGGTCGCTTCACCTTTCCAGAAACTTGTATTACCATATTTTTATTAAAAATGAATCAAAATAGAAATAAAAATGGCCAACAAATTATTTTGTCTTTGGCTAGACTCCAGACTAACAAACCTGTCACTATGGACCGAGCTAAGCCATTGAGAACCCTTACTGAGTACTCATGCTAGTCCAACATGAGGCGTTCATAGACAATAGTTTGGCTTAGAAACTGAATCAAGATGTACCGATAAGCGACAAGCACGGTAAATAAACTTCACCATTTTTATGTCCACGAAGTTATTGGCTTAAAGCAGTAAGTTTCGAATAGAAATTAGTACGCTGAACAGGTGAACTTTTCCACGAAGATTCCCAATACAACATCGATAGAACAATATAAGGGTATCGATCGGGTTTGTTTTGAATCACGCATTACTTGGACATATGTATTTGTATGTTGTACAGGTGAAGTGAACACATGTGCCAAATAAGATCCGCAATATTGTGCGTTCCAGACAGAGCTTGAGAGGGATAGGCCCCTCCCTCTCCTTCTCTCCCCGTTTACAATCCCCTTGGCCACAACTAAATAACCCTTCTAAGCGTTTTTGGATTATCAAAAATCACTGAACACAAAGTAAACTAAGGGTTGACAAACTTGGAAGGCGATCGTATAATTTTTTAAATGCCCTCTGAACTAGATTGGCAGTTTGAATCCCTTGTTTTCAGCTTGACCAGAACGCAAAACATCGGTTCATTAGAACAGTTCACCAGATTATCTAATTTTAATGCAAGAGTTTAGCAAAAGAACTTTCTAACTCGTTCAACTCCATCGATTGTCAATTCATTTACTGTTCGCATTTGTGCTCAGATTGTACTGATAGAAAATTTCAAAATAGCTATTTCAAAATATCGGTGATATGAAGTGAAGTTTACCCTTACCAGATCACAACCAAATAGACATACCTATCATTCCTGTGGAGTTTCTGTCTTGCAAAACGTTGTAATCAGAAAAATTTCACCCACCCTACCCCACGAATGCAGTAATGAAAG